GTTCAACCGCCCCTCCACCCAAGAGGTTGTTGCAGCGACTGGGGCCGAGCCCCACCATGGCAGTCAACACGTTGACCACATCAGCAGGGCCGCAACCATTCGAGGTGGGGATACGAGTGGATCATGAGTGCAGCTTTCAAGGCTGTTCAATACTCTCGTTGTGACTTGTTATGATAGATGAATATATTCATATATGAAATTATATAAATATAATGCATGAATATGAATATATATATATATATAATATACAATTTAAGCGCTTACGCGCGACAGCCGGCCAGGGGCCCAACTATGTTGGCCCATCGTGTGGCTATATGTTGGCCTATGTTGGCGTATGTTGGCCTATCTTGCGGGCAACGAGGGCCCATCTTGTGGCTATGTTGGCCTATGTTTGCCTCATGTTGGCCCATGTTGAGCCAAAAGATCCGAAAAATGGGAACAGCAAAAAAACGCTGTAAAACGCAGGATATTTTGAGGGTCGGCGGCCTATCTTGGGGCTATGTTGGCCCATCTTGGGGCTATGTTGGCCCATCTTGAGGGCAATGTGGGCCCATCTTGGGGCTATGTTGGCCCATCTTGGGGCTATGTTGGCCCATCTTGGGGCTATGTTGGCCCATCTTGGGGGCTATGTTGGCCCATGTTGGGGCTATGTTGGCCCATCTTGAGGCCTATGTTGGCGCATGTTGACCCATCTGGAGCCACAAGCTCCGAAAAAGGGTAAAACATGGGAAGAGCACAAAACACCGTAAAACGCGGTAGTTTTTGGCTGTGCTTGTTTGGACCAGGACGGACTCTGGAAGCTTGTGAAGAAACCGACAGGCATTCTGTCGAGCAAGGTCTCCATGCAGGCCGCACTGGCAAAGCAGTGCGATGGGCAACACTTGCACTGTCCCTTGGAGGGCTCGGCACCTGGATATGGCCGACGCACCTCCTATTTAGAGGATTACCAACCTGGCCTTGCAGCCACAATTGCTGGGGCGGCGGCCCCTCTCTCCTACGGAGAGGAGAGAACTGCCGTACAGCAATGCCACGGCCAGGGGGCCCCTGGCCGGATTTAAGCGCTTACGCGCGACAGCCGGCCAGGGGCCCAACTATGTTGTCCCATTTTGTGGCATCTTGGGGCTATGTTGGCCTATCTTGAGGGCAATGTGGGCCCATCTTGTGGCTATGTTGGCCTATGTTTGCCTCATGTTGGCCCATGTTGAGCCAAAAGATCCGAAAAATGGGAACAGCAAAAAAACGCTGTAAAACGCAGGATATTTGATGGTCGGCGGCCTATCTTGAGGGCTATGTTGGCCCATCTTGGGGCTATGTTGGCCTATCTTGAGGGCAATGTGGGCCCATCTTGGGGCTATGTTGGCCCATCTTGGGGCTATGTTGGCCCATCTTGGGGCTATGTTGGCCCATCTTGGGGGCTATGTTGGCCCATGTTGGGGCTATGTTGGCCCATCTTGAGGCCTATGTTGGCGCATGTTGACCCATCTGGAGCCACAAGCTCCGAAAAAGGGTAAAACATGGGAAGAGCACAAAACACCGTAAAACGCGGTAGTTTTTGGCGGGGGGGGAGTGGTCGGCGGCTGGGGCGGCGGCCCCTCTCTCCTACGGAGAGGAGAGAACTGCCGTACGGCAATGCCACGGCCAGGGGGCCCCTGGCCGGATTTAAGCGCTTACGCGCGACAGCCGGCCAGGGGCCCAACTATGTTGTCCCATTTTGTGGCATCTTGGGGCTATGTTGGCCTATCTTGAGGGCAATGTGGGCCCATCTTGGGGCTATGTTGGCCTATCTTGAAAGCTATGTGGGCCGATCTTGAGGCCTATGTTGACCCATGTTGAGCCAAAAGAGCCGAAAAATGGGAACAGCAAAAAATCACTGTAAAACGCAGGATATTTTGACGGTCGGCGGCCTATCTTGGGGCTATCATAGCCCATCTTGGGGCTATGTTGGCCTATCTTGAGGGCAATGTGGGCCCATCTTGGGGCTATGTTGGCCCATCTTAGAGCTATGTTGGCCCATCTTGGGGCTATGTTGGCCCATCTTGGGGCTATGTTGGCCCATCTTGAAGCCTATTTTGGCCCATCTTGAGGCCTATCGTCGCCCATTTTGAGCCATCTTGAGCCACAAGAGCCGAAAAAGTGCCAAAAACGGGAAGAGCACAAAACACCGTAAAACGCGGGACTTTTTGGCGGCCGGGTTGGTCGGCAGCAGGGGGCGCGGCCCCTCTCTCCTACGGAGAGTGCCACGGCCAGGGGGCCCCTGGCCGGATTAAGGAGCTCCGCCCGCTGCCGCCGACCCCTGGGCTTGCATTGCACCTCCGCATGGCTCCCACCATCGGAGTTTCCGCTCTGGGCGCAGGCGCCACAGGGGCTGATTCGGAGCAAGGCAATTGGGAGAAAAAGAATATCCTACCTATAGGGAATGAAATGTTACAATGGATGTGATATACAGCAATGTGATCACCTGACTAAGCACATGATAATAACGAACTGCGATGTGGTTTGG